GTTATGAGTCAGTGGATATCCAAGTTATTTCTTGGTAATCGTCAGCCTCTTATCTGCCAAAGCCTATGTCAAAGGAATAAATATACATCATACAATTTAGAACCCCGATGGGCGAAAAGGCAAGTAGTTAATAATGATATACTTCGCTTTACTATCTATTAAATTTTACAATTATTTCTATCACTCACACGAAGGTCGACCGATGACATAGTAATAATTACTGTAATTACTTAATTCAAGGCCAGAACTTTCGAGCAAATATAACTGTTTATTAATACAAGAATTCTACCGAATATTTTTAGTAACTCTGTAAAATCTGTAAAAGACGCGTTATAATTGCGGTGGTGATAGAGGGTGCAAATTTGCTGAAGTTCTCATGTGGCCGGCCAGGAGACTTCCCTTGTATCTTTGGATACGTAGGAGACGCCATGGCTTTATGTGGCCAGATATTGGCAGTAAAGTTATGATTTGCTTGATTTTTAGCAACTGTTTGCGCGGCCAGATATTGGCGGCTTGCAGTTGATCTGCTGACTTTGCTGAAGTTCTTCATGCGGCCAGATATTGGCGGTGTAGTATTTCCCTTATATATTAGGAGACGTCATAGCTTTTATGCGGCCAGATATTGGCGGTGAAGTTATGAGTCAGTGGATATCCAAGTTATTTCTTGGTAATCGTCAGCCTCTTATCTGCCAAAGCCTATGTCAAAGGAAATATACATCATACAATTTAGAACCCCGATGGGCGAAAAGGCAAGTAGTTAATAATGGTAATAATATATAATATACTTCGCTTTACTATCTATTAAATTTTACAATTATTTCTATCACTCACACTAACACTAACGCAAAACCGTTATTATTTTGATTTTATTCAAGTTCCGAAATGAAGTTGTTGCAAAAATTCCGGATCAAATATTAGCAAGGACAAAAGAAGATTCCTCTTTCCGATCCATTATAATTTGATCTTCCACTTGCCTCTCATTCAAGAATTTATTGCGAATGCTCACTGATAGAACTTTTTAATGCGTTATAATTAAGATAAGTTTTTGCTTCGTTTTTTTTATTTCGTGGCATGCGACAGAAATCAGAAGGCTCTAATGAGAAATCTGCTATAGATCACGATTTTCTCGGCGAATGGAAATTTTGATTAACATCATGATGTCATGTTTCAAGAAGCTAGTCAATCAATAAAATCAACACACTTTATTATTACTTTGCGGAATATACTCGTTCATTTGATTGATGATATTGATGATATAAATAATGGTAAGTTTGAATTTTTCGCTTGATTTTTGCTTTACTTGCGCAAGGCGGATAAAAGGATTCACTAACCGGGACATCACCTTTTTATGTAATTCGCAGGATCGTTTTTGGAATGGGCTTTGGATGAACGCATCACGCAATGTTTTATTTAGCTTATTTGTTTAAATTATATATGATATATAGGATATGTTAGTCATTTATGATATGAACGATCATATTAATTAGATAGATACAACTAAAAAACTAAAAAAGAATACCATATTGGGCACTGTGTCTAACTGCTATGATTTAACGAATCGAACATATTAATAATATACTATTCTTTCCTTTGATCTCCTGTATAAGAATTAAATAAAATCCTAATCAAATTGCAGATATAATAATATTACACTAAAAAGAATCAGGATCCTATATCAGTTTTTAGTAGCCAAAAAAATTCTTATGCTTAAATTTTATTAATAAAAAATTTGATATAGATTAGTAAATTATGCAAAATTAGTATTAATAAAAATTTTAATTGGATATATTCTAAGATTTGAGAATTAAAATAAATATAAGATGATGTTTTTATCATTCATAGTTATAAACTTGTTATTTAAATACTTTTTTACTACTTTAATTTATACTTTTTGCAAATGATCATATCTAAATACTTTTTTAATATTAACAATATTATTTTTTTTAAATTTAAAACCTTTTATTTACTAGCAGAAATATACTTGCAATTATATTTATTATATTATATATTAATTAATAAATCTAATAGATTTTCTAATAGATTATCAATAGATCAAATCTATTAGATCATTTAGCTACTATTTTACAGAAACTCTAATGATATCAATTCAATATTTTTATGATACTGATATAATATCAAAATAACATTTATACTATATAGATATTATAATACATTTACAAGATTAAACTAATAGATATAATATTATTTTATATTAAAATAGATAAATATTTATTAATAATTAAATATAACCTAAATGTTTTTAACATCATCAGTAAATTTAATAGGATGTAATATTGCATAAACTTATATTTTGTAATATTACAAAAACTTACAAGCCTGTTATAAGATTACATAATTAGTATTTTCGTAATATTTTGTAATATTATGACGTAATATTATGAAAGTATTATAGATATATAACTATGCAAAAGTTTACAATATAATACTTCAAAACATTACGGGATAATATTATATAAAACTTACAATAATAAAAGAATTTTAAAAGTTTATGAAAATTTATGCTAAAAATTTGTTTAAAATATAATATAAAACTTTTAGTCATGTAATATTTTGCAAATTTACTGAGTTTAATATATTTAAATTTATTTATAAACAAATAATGCTTTTATTTAAAACAATTTAAAATGAATTATATATAATATAAGTTAAAATATAAAAAGAAAATATTACAAAAATAAAGAAACAGTAACATATATCATTATAACAATAAAGTTAAAAATTTGTTTAAACGTTGATGAGAATATTTCTAAAAAAAGGTTGAGAAATAAAAGAAAATAAATATTAAATGTTTGATATTTCAAAAAATTTGCATGAAAATAAAAAAAAATTAGTAAAATAAAAAAGTAAAAGAGAGACAGTTAGTAGAATATAAAAGTAAAAAGAAAAAAAGTTAGTAAATTAAAAATAATAAAAGAGAGACAGTTAGTAGGATAGAGAAATCAAAAGAGAAAAAATTAGTAGATATATCAAAAGGAAAACAGTTAATAGAAAAATCAAAAAAGAGAAAATTAGTAAAGAAGAAATGAGAAGAAAAGAAAAGTGATACATTTAGTAGAGAAGCAAAAACAGTTAGTAGAAAAAAAAATATAGTTAATATTAATATTAAGATAAAGGGCTTTCATATTAATCAAATAACTTTCGTTGAGAAATAAAAAGGATTTTTTGTTTATTTTTTTTATCATAATTTATAAAATCTGAAAAATTACAACTATTTATAAAAAAATATATTTTTTATATATTTTAATAAATGAACAATATTTTTAATAAATATTTACGTAAGAAATTTTGTTAAGAAATAAAAAAAAATAAATGATTTTGTTTATTTTTTTTTTTAAAATGCAATAAATACGCAAAAACTTTATTGAAAAATAATTAAAAATTACATACATCAGAATTTACAAAAATCTTTATCTAAATAATCATAAAACTATCTAAATTAAGATCAACCCTGCATTCTTTTAGAATCTAACACAACTGAAATCATGTTATTATATTCTAACAATCAGACAAGAAAAAGGGCTTGACCCTTATTACACCAAAAATTTAATCAGTGAGATCCCTGACAGACTATAGTATCAACAAGATGATTAAAATCAAATGAAGATTGATAAGTTGGGAAACTATATCCTAAAGATTTTATGAGAGATCTCTTTAAAGAATCTGTAATTTCATGAGATGATTCAAAGTCCTTGAGTTCAGAACAATTTTGTTTATTTATTTTTTTTTTTTTAAGTGCGGTAAATTCGCAAAAACTTTATTGAAGATAATTAATAAAAATTACATATATCAGAATTTACAAAAATCTCTATCTAAATAATCATGAAACCATCTAAATCAAGACCGACCCTGCACTCTTCCAGAATCTAACACAACTGAAACCATGTTATCATATTCCAGCAATCAGAAAAGGAAAAGGTCTTGGCCCCTACTACACCAAAAATTTGACTAGTGAAATCCATTACAGACTATAGAATCAACAAGTTGATAAGAATCGTAAGATATGCGATAAGTTTGAAAACTGTATCCTGAGGATTCTGTAAGAGATCGCTTTAAAGTGTCTGTAATATCGCGAGTTACTTCAAAAGTTTTGAGTTCTAAACAGCGGTCCTTCCAAATACCTTGAGATTGTTCAAAGATAAAATGCATGAAATTGAAAATTGCGGCAAAAGTCTCATTTTGAGAAATGAAAGTCCTTTTGAAAAGATGCATTAATTTAAACGGAATGATACCTTTAATAAAGTCAATAAATGTGAACTGTGTTGATGATGGTGGGAAAAGTGACCAGATGTCGAGCTGTCCAATTTGTTGAGGTGAGTGATCAGGTTGTAATATATTAACGAGAAGCAATTTTACGTTGTTGATTAAAGCATGCGATTTATACAGAATCATAGGACATATTCATAAGTGAGCAAAATCCTCTGGATCAGAGTTATATCTATACAAGTTTGGGAACTATCAAACAGAAGCGGATGACGTTTCTTTAGGATTTCTATTGTAGGAAGCATCTCAAGGATTTGATGTATTTTTGATTTCATTAAAGCAGATGTCTCGTATGAAGTAGCTTTTAGAGCAACATTGTCTGAGAGGTATTTTGAAGTAATGATCTAGTCAATGTTCAGACTGGCGTATTTGTAATTGATATCAAGATTCAAAAAAGAGGTAAAGACTTCTGCACGCAAAATATCTTTAAAAAAAGATCATATAGGAGAGGCTATAGCCAAATGGTTAAAATATAAGAATGTATGAAGTTGGTCGTTAATAATGAGATTTAATGCTGATGTGGTTAATGAACTTTTGGCCATTTGATCAACTTTTCATTGTAGGCATCACCCGAATGTGCTTTAATTTTTAGCAATTTCACAGATAACAACAGAGCATCTACGATTTGAAATAGACATTGCCAAATGTGAACGTTAACAATCTTAAGGAAGGGTTATTGTGAAGGAGAAATTGTCGACAATAGCTTGTATTTATTATATTGTGAGATAATATTGCTAGAGTCTATATAAATTGTGATTTAACAATTAGCAGGAGCTACCAAAATGGTAGTGAACATTGCAGCCAATTCAGCAACAGATGATGAGGAAATGAGGAGGTGAAAGCTGTTGAATACGAGAGTATAGGAGAAACTGGTACAGTTTGAAGCCAAGCTAGACCATTCTGATTGAGGGAGTACTAAGATCTATCAATGAGCCATCAGTGTAGAATTCTAAATGAGTGTAGAGACTGAATTGAGAATAAAGTGTTAGTAAAGACTGTATATGTGATAAAGGTACAAATTTTTCGATGAAAAAAGGAGGAATAGGAGAAATAAAATCAATTGCAAGAATAGGGGACGGTGGAATACTACGATGATAGATAAAAGCTTTAGCCAATTCATTGAGTAAATTAATAGACTATGAACAACCATGAGTTGAGTCACAATTATGATTTGTCGGAATGATAAAATAGAGATTGATCAGCACTATAAAAAAACATTTGTTTTCTTTGTTGACAGTTTGATAAGGTACAAAAGTCTGACAGTTGTGAAGAATACAACGACTACAATTAGAGAACAAAGTTCTATTATTCTGGGTACTTGTCAGGAGCACGTGCAATATGTGTATATAGTGTTCTTTTGTTTTAAGAAGACGTCTAATAAATGGGGTATTGTGGCTGTAATTCCATCTGAGTACAAATGTAATTGTACTAGCTCTTTTGATAGGAGGAGAAAAGTCATAAGTGCAGTTGTTCGAATGTAGGTAGGAAGCTCATAAGCTTCTATCTTAATCGTTCAACAATAATCTATCTTGAAAGGTTAAAAACCAACATGGAATATGCTGTATTGGCAGAAATCCTAGTAGTATATTTAGATCATAAAAAGTTAACATGATATTGCCAGCTGAAAAGACCAACTGTTCAATAAATAGCAAGAAGTATTTCCTCAAGTACACTGAAAGAGCCTTGTATTCATAAGGTAGCATAACCGAGGATAGAGGAGTTGAACCATCTTTAATAACAACTTGTTCTGAATCAGAAAGTTGTATGATAATATTAAGCTGCTTCCAATTGCAAAGCAGATTAGCAATCTAATCATTTGATTTATAAGCTAGGTACAGCCATATAATCAATGAAGAGATATGCAGCCATTCTTTTTGTTGAAGTTGTTTAACACGCAATCTGGTGGACTTCCCAAGTAGATTGTGATCATTAAGAGAGAAATGTAATGCTTCACTATGAACTGCAAGAAGATGATGATGAAGATCCATAAGGTTGTAAAAGTAGTTAGAGTGAAAAACTGATAATAGTGTATTTTGTGATAAATGCAATTTCTTTTTCATGAATGCTCTGTAAGTCGAACCAAGAGTATAACATTGAGATGGTGTAAGTGCAGTTAATTAGACACGATATTCTATCCATGATGTAAGAATAGTGTTAAATATATACACCAGTTGTTTATCGGTTATTTTCTTTTTGGATATGATGGTAATCGCATTTTTGATTTCTCTTTTGAGCATATTGATAGTAAAGGTCTTATTTCTTCCCAATGAAATCCAGACACCTAGGTACCAAATGGACTCATTAAGAGGCCATGGGTTGATATTAATGAGACTACCATTAATATTGCATGTGAATGGTTAGTTATATTTAGCATTATTAATCATTAGGACTGATTTCTCCCAGTTTACTTTAATGTGATTTAGTTTGTAAAAACTTTCAGCAATGGTAACAATATCGGTGAAGTCATCATGTGATCTTGCTATCCAAAGGGTATCATCTATATAAGCGAGTGCTGAAATTTTGAGAGAAGATGATTCTGTTTCGTTTATAAGCATATTAGGTTTCTATATGAGCGAGGCAGAATATCCAAGTGTGGAATTTTGAATGCGACAGAGTAAAGGATCGTAATAAATACACCATAATAGAGGTAAAATGATCTTTCCCTGATCAATGTCAGAAATAACTTTGTAAGAATCAGTGTTTCTAAATAGTGTAAAGATCTGATTATGGCGATTTCCAAAAATTTTAAGGACAAATCTAAGAAAATTGAATGGGATGTGCAGCTGTTCCAATGCTTTAATAAGCATAAAGATATTTACCCAGTCATAGGCTTTGGACATATCTTGTAATAAAATCCATAAGT